GGGAATACGTGTATGTATAGTAATCAATGTAGTATTTATTAAGAAATTAGAATTATGTATGCGTAAACGAAAAAATTTATACACAAGAAAATAAATTTGCAGAAGCTATCGTCAATTTATACGAAATAAATATTTTATTTAGCAGTTATTATGATTATAAATCTTATTATAAATATAAGTTATTGAAAAGTTTAACGATTCTATAGATTTCTTAATTTGGATTAATAAATAATAATATTATCTAATCTGAAATAATCTTAATAATTCATATATTTCCCATTTTTTATTTAATTCGTTTAACTATTACACGTCGATTTTTACTTAAAAAAATACCATATTGTTTAATTACATTATTCTAAATAAATTTTTATATAAAATTTGATTTTCGTTTATATCATCCAAATTTTAAATACAATAATATAAGGTAAAATTAGCATAGATTTAATAAACTTTCTGGAACGTTAAGTAAATACCATTTTTTAAATATGAAAGTTATCTTAATTAAGTTGAATAAATCAGAACTTTTAAGATTAATTTTTATCACTTTTTACAGCATAATTTTATATTATACGTATATGCATATTGAGAAAAATAACTCTAATTTATTACTTTTTATTCAAAAATAATAGATATCATTTATAAATTAATTCTAAAAATATTCATAAATTATTCCGTTGCTTAAAATTGCATTGGTTACTTTCAATTATTTTATCTTGAAGTAAAAAGATTATAAATTCTAAAATTTTTAGTCCTAGTTTTAAAAAATAATAGAGAATTTAAAGGAAGAAAACTTTTATCATTTCTGTTATGAAATGATGAAATCTGTATATGAAATTGAAAAAAGATATATTTATATATAATTGTATACAAATATAAATATGTAATTACATATAATTTGTAAAAAACACAAAATTATTTAATTAATTATTTTTTTATTCATTTGTATCTTGATTTGTATTTTCCATGTCGTCAATATTCATCTTATTATATTATAACAACAATAATGCCTAATTATAATTATAAAAATATTTTTAATTTATTTCTTTGATTTATTTCATAAGAAATAAAGTTTCATACAGAACATTAAAAATATTTGTAATTCATTACAATTCGTAATAAAACATTTTAACTAAATCACTGATTCATTCGTACTATATATTTTAAATATTTAATTAAATTACAAATTAGTTAATTATTATTCAAAATAAAAATAAGGAATTATAAGATTATAATTTTGAACAATTTTCCATCAAATTACATGTGCCCACTATGTAAAATAACAAGAAAATTAAATTGCAGATTATTTTCAAAAAATAATATACTTTAATATAAAATGAAAAATTATTTATTATAAAATACTTTACATGAACAAAATTCTTTTTTAAAGGAGATTATATACATTTAAATTTTAATATATCAATAAATATGGAATTACTTTTAAATCTATAAAAAAAAATTGTACATACAACCGTAATAAAGTTTGAATTACCAATATAATAAAACTGCTTTCAATTGACTTACATTGAATAATTGACTTGATTGAGTTACAAAAATAATTTTCTCATTATTAGCCATGTGTATTATATGTAATTGATCTTGAAACTTAATCGAAAATTTAGAAACTCGCACTTAATATTTTAAAGTATCATGAATTATTGTAAAAATAATAATTAATAATGAGTTCCTAAAAAGTTTAAGTCTTATTCGTATATAATAAAAATTTACAGGCTGCTAGTGAACTAATTAAATATATAATTAATTCAATAGTGTTAATTCAATTAATTTATATAATTATACAAAATAATTATTATATTATTAAAATGTATTCATTTAATTATAATATAAAATATATGGAAATCTCAGATTAATGTAAAATAGAAAAGGTATCATTTTTAATGAATAAAAAATAATCAAATATGCTTTACTTATTATTTATTAAAGTCTTTATTATATTATCAGTGAAGAAGATAGTATAAGTAATTTAATGCATAATTGAGAATTGCTATTAGTACGTAATATATTGTAATTGAAGAATACAAATAATAATAAATTATATACAATCACAATTGATTATTATTATTATAAATCAATTTTATATTTATTACATTTTTTCATACATTTTGCTGTGTCGTTAAATGGTCAAAGGATAGAACATTTGATCACTTACAATTATTTAACATACATTTGAAAATCAAGTACAATACGACTTGATATTTATGATCAGAATTCTATTTAATCTCTTATTAATTAATAAGTATAAATACTTTACAAGCATTTATTAAAATCAAATTAAATGAAATTAATTATTATTTTTGCATTTGATTATTCTTTGTTAAGATCCATTTTTCAAAAAACTACATTATTGAAATATAAAATATGTTTTTTTCCTAAAAGTCTGAAATATATGATAAACAAGTGTTGCTGTTAAGCTAATGACTTATGACAGTTATCTTGGTCATATTTAGCACTAATCGCTACATGAGCATGAATATAAATTGTACGTGTTGCAATTTACTTGTTTAATTTACAATAACAGTATTTAAAATTTCGTAGATTACTTATCGTAAAAATGAATTTTAATAAAAGTGAACGTAAAATGAATTTTGTGCATAATAAAAAGATTGTTATATATAGAAAGATTCGTATATATGAATGTTAATGGCAAGTCGGATGTACGATAAACTGTTCTAGATAGTTCAGCAACGAATTTTAAAGACTTTCAATTGGTTTTTTAAAATATAACAAATAACGTAGGAATTATATGAGTATATACTAGCTCAAGATCGGTTATTATTATTCTTATAAAACTAAATATATTAATACTGCTGAATATTGACAAGTATATTAGAAAAAATAGAATAAATTAAGAAAAATAAGACTTATTTACAAATATATTAGATGTAAGCATTACTTAACATATTTTTCTATCAATATTTTTAAACAGTAATACAAAAAGTATTAAATTAGCAATTCTGTTATATAAAAACTTGTTTTAGTAAAATTTTTTAACAAAGTTTTTCTTATTTCGGTCGTTTATTTTAGTATAATTTACAAAAAAATGACACTATTATGATAAATTATTAATTGATATATTTAATTATTCATATTTTTTATTGATTTACTTGTTAAAAGGTATTTATGAAACAATTGATAATGTTAATTGATAATGTCATACTTTCAATTAAAATATAATATATTTAAATACAATAAAATTTTAATAATTTTAAATAATATAATCACAATAGTATGTGTCTCTATTTGAAAAAATGTAGAATTTGTATAAAAATATAATGTAACTGATAACATGGTTTAATAATTACATTAAATTAAAAAAATTAAATTAAAGGAATAGTAATTGAATAATATATGATAATAAAGAGAAGAATTCTATTTAGGAGAAACTTCTATTTGCAAAACTTATATTACATATAGATTCTTTTTTAAATAAGTAACAATCACTTTATATGTATATTTATACATTTCTAAACTTAAAATACTCTTGTGTTTTCGTATTTGAGGCAAAGTAATATACAAAAATTATTAATTATATCCATAATTAATTATAATATTAATTATTCGTACAATATTTTAAATTTTTTAAAATGTGTATATTTCTATATAAATTAGTCATAGCAGTATAGAATAATTTACATTTTATTAAAAAAAATAATTGTATGTTGCAGTAATTGTACAAAAAGTATATATTAAAAATTTTTCAAAATTATTTTGAAGATCAATATATTATATCGATCTTGTTATATCGATATGTTATATCGATATTATATTGACTGGTATAATTGCAATGATTATACTAGAAATATTACAAACTATCATAGATTAATTATAATTGATAAATAATGTAATTTGAAAATTATTCATTATATAATATATTTGTTACACAATCATTTTCGACGTTACAATAAACATAAACGTTTAGACGATAATTTTTTTTCAGATAAATTTTTTAAGTTATTATGTTTAAAAATCTGCAAATACATTCTGTTTAACATGACATTAATATTTTATCAAAGTATCTTATCAAAGTCTATTTTATCAAAGTACATTTGACATTTAATATCTTACATAAATTTCTATTAAAAAAATTAATAAATATGTACCAACGGCAATAAATACACATGTACGCAATTATTTATTAAATTGATAAAAATGATATATTATACAAAAAAATTAATTTATTAACGACAATCATTAAAAGTATATAAAGAAATTAAGTAACCAAATGTTAAAGTTTTTTTAGATGATAATATAAATGCTTTATTAACAATATGTTTATAAATCAGATCCTTCAAAAGTACTTGTCAAGTACTGCTAAAATGTATGCTCAATTATAATTAATATCATTATTCATTTATATAATAAATTAATTAGAATTTTTTCAATGCTTCATTAAGAAATAAAATAATGAAATATATGTTGAATTGCGATTTATTAGCAAATAATGGAATGTTTAATTATTAGAGAATGTATGATAATAATTGGCGATTAGAAGCTAAAGTTAGCGAATTTTCAGAATTTTCAGGAAGAAACAAATTTTCATTCCAATATTTATAAATATAATTAAAATAAAACAGTTATAAAGTAGCATTAATGAAGAAACTTGACTATTTATTATTATTCCAAAGCTATCGGAAAAATAATTTCTAGTATCTCTAGGCAACAATTTTTTTCATTAAAGTACGAATTAATTTTTTTACAGAATTTCTTAATCCTTTTCTGTTGGAACGAAAAACTTATTTTTCGCCGCTTAATTGTCAATTGTCAATTGTCAATCGATTGACTTAAATAATCTACAGTTTGCTGACATTGAAAATACAAGCAAACAAATTACCGTTGCATTCATCCTTAAAACTGTTCAGCGACAAATGATTAATAATAAATACGAGGCTGTAGCTTAGCAATTATAATATCGCGACAGAATAGAGGCGATTGTTTATTAAGAAATACGTTTTCGTGCGCTTCATTCGACGTGAAAAATGACGTTAGGCTTGACAGGTCGCGGAGTCGATGGAATTTGTCGGGGTCAGCGTCACAGACATGGATGATATGGACCTGTCGGTCAGTTGGTTGACCAATTGCATCGACGGCATCCGTTGCTTAATAAGCATCTGCCGAAGCGATTGACATTCCTCTCGTAGGGTCATCACTTGGGCGCGTAATATCGCATTTTCGTGCTCCAGCATCGTAGCCCGCAAAGCGATCTAATTGAAAAGAGACGCTAAGACGTTTGCTTAAATATCGACACGAGTTGTTGAGTGTGAGTTTGCACTCGCACACATATGCAAAGCATTAGCATTGTTAATTTGATGGCAGATAATTAAATTTGACTGCCCAAAAATCTTATTTAAGTATTTTTCAATCATCAGCATTATTTCTTATTATTCACTATTATAATTATTTTTTGCCTACATTATTAGCGTAAATCGCGTCAAAGATAATTTATTCGATATAATCGTTATTTTCAAGTTTTTTATTATTTTATTTTACATTTGTTTTAAATGTTTTAGTATATAAGTAGATGGAAATTTTACTCGACCATGATATCAGTAGTTTATATTTTTAAACTTTTATCTTGAAATCAACAGTCGTTTTATGTATGATCGACATTTTCCGATATTAATATAATCTTAAATTCAAATTCATTATAATTAAGAAGGGAGTTTAAAAATTGTCTTGCATTACTGTTTCTCTTTTCACAGAACTTACTTTGCATTTCAATCATAAGTTCATTTCTTATCTTAATAGCTCTACATAAACAAATAATATTGTAAAAACCATAATTGTAATACCAATAAGTTATATTAACTATAGGAGAAAATGTAAAAACTCAATATATAATATTGTAAGACAAACTTAACTTATTGTTTTTAATCTTATTTCACTCATAATTTTACAAAAATAACTATAATTGTATTAATTTTTGTGATTCATCTAATTGATTTAATTGTAAGAATAATCATTGTACATCTAAAAAAAAAAAATTATGCACGTAAATATTATTGTACAACAAATTACTTGAAAATCGATATAGAAAAATGCAAATGAATTTGTGTAAATAAAATGTATGTACATTATCAATACGAATAATAAATATACCGATTATATTGACATTATCTCTCATGTACAATATTGTATAATTGTTTAATATATTGATAAGAATTAATTAAATTAAAATATTTTATAATGCTAATAATATTTAATCATCCCCCCCGAGAATTAATTTTTGTGATTCATCTAATTGATTTAATTGTAAGAATAATCATTGTACATCTAAAAAAAAAAAATTATGCACGTAAATATTATTGTACAACAAATTACTTGAAAATCGATATATATTCTTACGTGATCTTCTCGTATTTTACGAGCGTCTCGTGATTTTTTTGCCGCTTGATTATTACGCTTTCGTCGCTCATAATACTTTTCATCTTTTTGTTCATCAGGAATTGGTTTCTTTTCACTCCGAGGTCTTCTCGATTGATGCATACTTGAAATAACAACATTTTCAATAATATTTCGGCTCATTACGGCAGCTATAACAAATAATAAATACAAATTGATTGTAATTAATTAATTTTCGCTCCATAAATTCTCTTGCTTCGTCGTCGTATTCCATATTACACACACGCGCGCGTTAATCAAATAATTCCCCTCGCCAATTTAATAAGATTGTAAGTGAATTTTAATAAACATTATATATATATATATATATTATTGATACACGGTGTTAATAAAAAATAATGCCCCGGGTGAGGATCGAACTCACGACCTTAAGATTATGAGACTTACGCGCTGCCTACTGCGCTACCGAGGCTTCAGAATCTATTTGACATAATAATGCATTAAAAGTCTATTGATATATCGTTCGCTATATCATATATTGATTTATTCACTTTAATTGAAGTAAGGTTAATTAACTGCCGACAAAGTAGATTTCTACTTTAGATATAACATTTCTCACCACTATCAGGGAAATAATCGAACATATAATGTGCAGAAATTGAGGGAGGCTTCGAGAAATTTACTGTCCGAAAGCAAGAAAAACTTATTAAATTGTAAACTTATATTTGGCTTATATACGTATGTATTTATGCACGTATATATATATATATATATATATATATATATATATTTTTGCTAAAGCAAAAACAATTATTTTCTAATAACTTTAAATAATAACGAAGGCTATCTATTTGATTCAAGTCAAATGTCCACTTTAAACAAAAAATCAAGGATGGTTTTTTAACGGTCGTTATAGAATTAAAAGTCTGTAAAGTTCCTTATAAAATAGCTAAAATCTTTAAAAAAATTCATGATTAGGGTAACAAGCAATATACTTTACATCAATATAGCAAATTAATTAGATTAAAAGATTTAACAATTATAATATACAAATTAAGCGAGGAGTAAAACACTTTTAAAAATAATAATCATTGAAAAAAAAAAAAACAATTTTTTTGTTTCTTTAACATTTAATTCTTTAATTATGATACTTATTATAATATAATTTATGTCATTCAACTACGACCAAAAATTAAAAAAAAAATTTTAAAGCAATTATTAACTTATGTATAATATATATATATATATATATATATATATATAGTGTAATGTAAAACATAAATTATTAATGTAATTAATATTGTTAATAAAATCTAATAATACAATAGTATTTTTAATCATTTTAATAATACGTGTGATAATTATAAAATGCAAATATAATGTGTGTAGAAAATGCGTACAAATATAAAGATGTGTACAATGTACATTGTTAGATCGCATACATAATAATATAAAATGCAAACTGTATGCAGCTTATATTTTGTCCAATCTTATAAATTGAAATTTTATTATAAATTTTTTACTTTCATTGAATTGAAATAATTTGTATATTTAATTAACATCAATAGACATTATACGACTTAAGCCACATAATTTTATACCTATTTGTTGTTGATCAATAGTCCGGGATAATTATTATTCGGATAATATAATGTTGACGTAAATATATGTGTTAAGAATACTTGTAAAAAAAAAGGATCTAACCACTAGCATAATGTACAGTCGTTACCGACCTGCTCTTGCATTGGTGAAGGGATGAGATATGTTCACGGATGACACTAAGGGTGGTATTGCCCCGAGCAACGGAGGCTGCAAAAGGCTCGTAATCGAGAATGGCGCTGATGAAGCCAAAGGGGAATGTGGCGTCGTGGCTAACATGACGTTCGTAATTACTTACTTTGGCTCATTGAAAGAATAAGACTCATAACCTCAGACATCAATCGTGTCACATCATCAGGATATATTAACTCCTTGAACAAAAATTAACATATGTTAATCGTCTTACGATGTCTTCCTTTTGAAGATAATTATGATGCCGATTCCGATAGATAGAACCGCTATAAATAATTGCATGTATTTACAAAGATAAATATATAATAAATTTTACAGAATGAAAATTTTATTATTTGACGATTACTTAATTATTATATGACCTTGCAAAAGAGTTCAAATTATTTTTATAAGAAGAGAAATATTTTCAAAGCATTACTGACACTGTATTCTAACACGAATAAATCTGTAAATTTCATTTCGCACTTATACATATTTTATTTTACAATAGTTAAATTACATATGATTTAATTATTTTGACATTTATAATGGCTTAAATTATGCGACTGTATTTTATACATAAAAGAAATATTTGATTTCGAATGTTTGCTATTTTATAAAAATATAATATTTTAAAAAATTCCGTTTATTAAAATTTTACAATATAATATTTTTAAAGGAATTTCAAATTTCATATATGAATTATTACGTTTATTACCATTACTACGAAGGTATAAACCCTTAACTCTATACAATATATAAAATATATTTTTCATTATATAATAAAAAAAAAAAAAAAATGAGATGCCTTTATTCTTAATTAAGAGGTATACAAAAATTATGATTATTTATTAATTTGTGCAAATAAAAATTTTAAATTATAATTTTTATAAAATTAATAAAAAAAAAAAAAAAAGTTTTTTTAGTTATATTATTGTCAGATTTATGAAATTATAAATTACAACTTATATTTTTCTCATTAAAATTCTAATTACTTTTGAAATTGATAAAATTTTTGAAAAATTATTTACATTAATTGGATAATACAATAGAATTTATATTAAAGCTACTATATGGATACATTTATATTGATATAAGACAATTATATCTATAATAATAAAAATTTATTAAATTCCTATAATATTGTAAGTTTATCAGAATGATTTTATTGTAGTTTTTATTTTTTATTTTTCCCAAGTTCTCTTAATGTTATTACTCTATTAGATTGCTGTTTTTTTTTTACTTATCTTAATTTGCCTTATAACGTATCTCTATCATAAGATGAAGATATAATTATAAGATATTTGAATAAAATTGTCATATTTAAATAAATAGTGGATATTTTATGGCTCAAGTTGAAATAAGTTAATACAAATTTATTTATATAAATATTATTATTGGCACGACTTTATAAATAAAAAATGTATATATTGTTACAATAGAAAGTTGCGCAAATTATTAAAAATGAATTGGACAATAAATGCAAAAATTCTAATCATACTTTCGTTAATATCTTGACAAATAATGTACTAAAAGAACTTTCAAACAAACTTGGCAACATAAAAAGAATGTTATATCAAAAATTAAACTCGTAAACTTAACATGATGCATGCTGACGAAACAACGATAAAAGAAAGAAACACGCGAGAAAAAGAATGTTACTGTGTAAAGTAAATTTAACTCATTTTTTCGCGTGGAACATTGACATCAATCAAAAAATAATATTTTTGCTACGATAGATAATAACTTTTGTACCTAATATATTTATAACTTTATTTATACAAGTTAGGTAATACCATTTTAATTCATAATTTTAACTATGTGAATTTCATTCGTATTATGTATGATTGTTAGATATATAAAACAAAATAATATCATTTATGTTTTGAGTATAAAATTATAAAATAAAATTTATAATTAAAAAATTATATAATGTTTTCACGAAAAGAAATATATTTCAAATCAAATGATCGTTTATTCAAAGATATCCCGAATATTCCAAGCATTGCACAATTAAAACCATTTATGTTAAATTAATTTAATTATCGGTATTTACATTCTTTTATTAGAAAAAACACTTATTATTTTTTCAATTATTAAGTCAATTTAAAATTGTAAGTAGATTAATACAATACAATAGTATGTTCAATATGAAAAAACCAAATTTGTTTTACGATCATGTTAATTACCATCGATTCGTTAAAAAACATAAATTAACATTTGATAACGAATAAAGTAACGAATAATGTCTAATTTGCAACGACACTCCCAAAGACTTTACGTGTAAATTTTGCCTCATAATACGACATGTAGCACCCGTCACTCAATAAATTAGAAAGCAGCAGTTTACATCAAGAAATTTAACAAGCAAACTTGTAACGATTTACTTGTATAATGGTAATTTCCGCAGTCATTTGCGTCCTTATTTTCTCACTGTCTTTTGTTCTATTTCACCTCTCAAATGCTGAAAATAACACCTAAGCGTGCATTGTAATTTTTTGTTTTATGAACGGCAAATTATAAGTTAATAATAACTTTTTTTTTCCGCGGATAAATTTTGTTCTATATTACACTTGACAAATCGATAATAATAATAGCGAAGTTCTATTCTTCGTGAATTCATAAAATTACTTAATAAATTTATAAAATAATTTCAATAATTTATATTTAATAATCAAATAATTAAATATATAAGACAAAACATATTGTATGCATATAATAACAGTAATTAAATAATTAAAAATTATTAATTTTGTGTTTAACATTGATAAAATCTTTTAATGAATCAAATAAAACATCAATTTGTAATTAAACATTAAATAATAATTTTTTAATTTAAGTTTGAATTTAATTTCTTTAATGTTATAATGGCATAAAATATATTTTCAAATGGTTATATTGAAATTAGCTACACAATAATACCTTGATTGAATATCTTCAATTAATATTTAAATTATTGTGATAAATATTTATAATGTATATTAAAAAAAAAGTTTTTTTTATTTAGTCACATGCAAAATTGGATTTTTAAGAAAAATTACAATTTTTCTTTTATTTTTCAAGCTCTAAGATTGTAAAATCAAGTTTGTACTAAGAGAGTGTGCAAATTAAATTAAATTAAATTTTATTTTAAATTTAAATTTAATTAAAAAAAATTTCCCTTTTGAAAAGTCCCTTTTCATTTAAGGACTTTATAAAAGTCTACATTTATTTTAAAAAAAGTAATGAAATTATAAAGTTTTAATTTGTTCAAAATACACATAAATTGTTTTAGGTATATATTCATTTATTTTATTTATACCCAATTTAGTAAAATCATGCCTTACGAAAATACTGAGAAATTACTGCTTTTTTCGTAAATGATTTCTTTCAATTATACTATATATCATAAAAGAATGAAAAATGGCTTTTTGCATTTAAAGTTTTTTTCAAATGCTAATAATTTTTTAAAAGACTGAAAATGTTACTTTTCCAATTTTCTTTATCAATTGGCTGTAAACGTCTGTTTTGTCTTTCATGAACATTTTAAGATATTAATAAAAAGTAAATCTTTTAAAACATTCAAATATATAAAATAAAATTAAAAATTTTCGGTATTTAGAATAAAATAAAAAAACTCTCCATTATAACAACATTACGCGAACTTTTTTTAATGACATTGCCGTGACCAGGATTCGAACCTGGGTTACTACGGCCACAACGTAGGGTCCTAACCACTAGACGATCACGGCTATCGGAGGATATAATATTTAAAGTGCAAATGGCAAGGAACAATCCAGATTGTGCTCGACTTATTAATCCATGCATGACAGGTACCGATTTTTTACCGCAACCGCGCGAAAACATCGAAAGAACGTTTTCTTTTTATTTTCATGCACTGTCTTTCATTATTAACGAATTTAAAGATTATAAACTATGCTCACATTATTGTAAAATAGTTTTTGTAGGCATTGTAAAAGATAATTTCATTTTCTATTTTAGCTTAGGAAAAACTAGTGATTGGGTAGTTTATTTTAACATATTTTGTGTTATTAGCACAAGTGAAAAATAACAAAGGTATGTATTTATTGTCAAAATAAATACATATTTAGGTTTATAATGGAAACAATAATATTTTACATATTCTATTATTCAGTTTAATAAATGCTAAGCAGATCAAGATAAATCGGAGAGAAACTTACACTTATTTATATTATATTCATATATAAAACATTAATGTAGTATATTATGTACTATTTAAATTTTTACCAATTTGAATTAGTTTTTAAATATCTTTTTGTAACAATATTTATAAGTATTTAATAGTGTTTATGTATTTAGTAATATTCTAAGAAAATATTGATGATGTAATGATTTTTACAAACGACTTTATTATTAACTTAACATAAAATTGAATGTATACAAATCACGTTTTACTATTGACTTATAAAAAATTTGTATAACAATAACTAAATGAAGAGAAATTATATGAAAATTGTTTAACGTATACATTTTTAATTAATCATAAGTTTATTTAATAAAATTGATAGAACTCTTTAAAAACTCTTAAAAATGACAAAGTAAATTCAGGTTCTAATTTGCTTAAAATATATTGGTTTCACAACGTTTGATAGCCATTGGTAAATCAATGAATTGTTAAATAAGCAAAGTTTTTATAAGGAGATAAATATTTGTATTAAATACAGCTGCTTTATAATCTAATAAAATAGTAATATTAATTAATACAATTTCATTCTTTACATTTAATAAAATATTATAATAGAAATATAATTTATATTCATTGCACATTCTAAAGTAAAATTCCTTATATTGTTAATTAAATCTAAATAGAATTCTTTAAATTAATTTAAAATAAATATTATTTTGAAAAATGTAATAACATTCTTTAAAAGTAAAATAAAATCATGCAATAATTATTAAATTTTTATAATTTTATTGTCTTTAGAATATAAAAACAATGGAAACATAATTTTAATATTTTGGCTAGGATTTGTTATTACACTATTAAACTAAACATTCTATTAAATGTTGAACCAATGGTGAAAAATATATTTACGAAAACTTACTGAACCGAATAAATTCAATATGTAATAGAAAAAATTCTTGGG